ATCCCCTCAGGATCCATATTAATTACTGACAGAATCCCCTCAGGATCCATATTAATTACTGACACCATCCCTCAGGATCCATATTAATTACTGACACCATCCCCTCAGGATCCATATTAATTACTGACACCATCCCCTCAGGATCCATATTAATTACTGACACCATCCCCTCAGGATCCATATTAATTACTGACAGAATCCTCTCAGGATCCATATTAATTACTGACACCATCCCTCAGGATCCATATTAATTACTGACACCATCCCCTCAGGATCCATATTAATAACTGACACCATCCCCACAGGATCCATATTAATTACTGACACCATCCCCTCAGGATCCATATTAATTACTGACACCATCCCCTCAGGATCCATATTAATTACTGACAGAATCCCCTCAGGATCCATATTAATTACTGACACCATCCCTCAGGATCCATATTAATTACTGACACCATCCCCTTAGGATCCATATTAATTACTGACACCATCCCTCAGGATCCATATTAATTACTGACACCATCCCTCAGGATCCATATTAATTACTGACAGAATCCCCTTAGGATCCATATTAATTACTGACACCATCCCTCAGGATCCATATTAATTACTGACACCATCCCCTCAGGATCCATATTAATTACTGACACCATCCCCTCAGGATCCATATTAATTACTGACAGAATCCCCTCAGGATCCAAATTAATTACTGACACCATCCCTCAGGATCCATATTAATTACTGACACCATCCCTCAGGATCCATATTAATTACTGACACCATCCCTCAGGATCCATATTAATTACTGACACCATCCCTCAGGATCCATATTAATTACTGACAGAATCCCCTTAGGATCCATATTAATTACTGACAGGGAATCCTCGGGATCCATATTAATTACTGACCTTTTCATCCTCAGGATCCATATTCGTACTGACACCATCCCTCAGGATCCATATTGAGTGCGGCCTCTCCCCTCAGGATCCATATTAATTACTGGCAGAATCCTCAGGATCATATTGAGTACTGACACCATCCTCAGGATCCGTATTAATTACTGACACCATCCCTCAGGATCCATATTAATTATTGACACCATCCCCTCAGGATCCAAATTAATTACTGACAGAATCCCCTTAGGATCCATATTAATTACTGACACCATCCCTCAGGATCCATATTAATTTCTGACACCATCCCTCAGGATCCATATTAATTACTGACACCATCCCTCAGGATCCATATTAATTACTGACAGAATCCCCTCAGGATCCATATTAATTACTGACACCATCCCTCAGGATCCATATTAATTACTGACACCATCCCCTCAGGATCCATATTAATTACTGACACCATCCCCTCAGGATCCATATTAATTACTGACACCATCCCCTCAGGATCCATATTAATTACAGACAGAATCCCCTCAGGATCCATATTAATTACTGACACCATCCCTCAGGATCCATATTAATTACTGACAGAATCCCCTCAGGATCAAAATTAATTACTGACAGAATCCCCTCAGGATCCATATTAATTACTGACAGAATCCCTTTAGGATCCATATTAATTACTGACACCATCCCTCAGGATCCATATTAATTACTGACAGAATCCCCTTAGGATCCATATTAATTACTGACACCATCCCTCAGGATCCATATTAATTACTGACAGAATCCCCTCAGGATCCATATTAATTACTGACAGAATCCCCTCAGGATCCATATTATTAATTACTGACACCATCCCTCAGGATCCATATTAATTACTGACAGAATCCCCTCAGGATCCATATTAATTACTGACAGAATCCCCTCAGGATCCAAATTAATTACTGACACCATCCCTCAGGATCCATATTAATTACTGACACCATCCCCTCAGGATCCATATTAATTACTGACAGAATCCCCTCAGGATCCAAATTAATTACTGACACCATCCCTCAGGATCCATATTAATTACTGACACCATCCCCTCAGGATCCATATTAGTTACTGACACCATCCCCTCAGGATCCATATTAATTACTGACAGAATCCCCTCAGGATCCATATTAATTACTGACACCATCCCTCAGGATCCATATTAATTACTGACAGAATCTCCTCAGGATCCATATTAATTACTGACAGAATCCCCTCAGGATCCATATTAATTACTGACACCATCCCTCAGGATCCATATTAATTACTGACACCATCCCCTCAGGATCCATATTAATTACTGACACCATCCCCTCAGGATCCATATTAATTACTGACACCATCCCCTCAGGATCCATATTAATTACAGACACCATCCACTCAGGATCCATATTAATTACAGACACAATCCCCTCAGGATCCATATTAATTACTGACAGAATCCCCTCAGGATCCATATTAATTACTGACAGAATCCCCTCAGGATCCATATTAATTACTGACAGAATCCCCTCAGGATCCATATTAATTACAGACAGAATCCCCTCAGGATCCATATTAATTACTGACAGAATCCCCTCAGGATCCAAATTAATTACTGACAGAATCCCCTCAGGATCCATATTAATTACTGACACCATCCCTCAGGATCCATATTAATTACTGACACCATCCCCTCAGGATCCATATTAATTACTGACACCATCCCTCAGGATCCATATTAATTACTGACACCATCCCCTCAGGATCCATATTAATTACTGACACCATCCCCTCAGGATCCATATTAATTACAGACAGAATCCCCTCAGGATTCAAATTAATTACTGACACCATCCCTCAGGATCCATATTAATTACTGACAGAATCTCCTCAGGATCCATATTAATTACTGACACCATCCCTCAGGATCCATATTAATTACTGACACCATCCCCTCAGGATCCATATTAATTACTGACACCATCCCCTCAGGATCCATATTAATTACTGACACCATCCCTCAGGATCCATATTAATTACTGACACCATCCCCTCAGGATCCATATTAATTACTGACAGAATCCCCTCAGGATCCAAATTAATTACTGACACCATCCCTCAGGATCCATATTAATTACTGACACCATCCCTCAGGATCCATAGTAATTACTGACGGAATCCCTCAGGATCCATGGTAATTACTGACACCATCCCTCGGGATCATATTAATTACTG